GCGCCGGTGGTGGTCCTCAATGAGATTGTTTCGATTCAGAGAAACTTCTTATGGGCTGGAACGGCGGAGAAATCATCCTTGGCTTGGGTGAGTTGGAGTTCAGTCTGATGTACTAAAGAGAAAGGGGGTCTTGGGATTCGAGATATTCGTTTGTTCAACAAGGCTTTGGCAGTGAAATGGCTTTGGCGCTTTTTGACAGAAAAGGATGTCATATGGGGCGGAATTATCAGGCACAAATATGGAGATTTCAATTCTATTTTGTTGAATAGGGAGACTTGGGTTGGGAACAAGTTGCACTCTCTTTGGTGGCGCGACATTCTTAGTTGCGGGACGAAAATCTTTCGGGTAGTTTTTTGAATGGTTTAACGTTCGGGCTTGGTGGGGGTGATGCAATTTTATTCTGGAAACATACGTGGCTTGGGAGTGCCCCGCTGTTGTCTCTCTTCCCGCTTATGTTCGAAGCTTCAGAAGCGAAAAACTTGTCGGTTTCTCAGGCTGGTTCTTGGGTGGGATCAGAATGGGTTTGGAATCTTTTTGAGATCACTCATGGCCAGTCTTTTGAGGAAGCTCAGGAGTTTGTAGATTTGAAAAATTTATTGGAACAGGTCCAACCCAGAAGGGGAGTGGAAGACGTCATTATGTGGCCTTGGAGTATTCACAAACTTTTTACCATCGACTCTTGCTACCGAAGGTACCTTTATTTTGAATCTGGTATGATATGGAGCCAGAACACAATCCTTGCTTTAGAATTGTTATGGAAAACGGTGATTCCTATGAAAGTGAAGGTTTTTGGTTGGCGTTTGTTGATTGATAGATTACCGACTAGATCTAACTTATTAAAATGCAATATATTAATAACCCGCACGATTGTGTTTGTGTTTTTTGCTTTCAAGTAATGGAGTATTCTAACCATATTTTCTGTGGATGCGAGAAAGCTATATTGGTTTAGAAACGAGTTTTTCTCTGATTAGGTTTGAAGTGGTTCTTTGTCGGCGTTTGCAACATCTTCTCGATGGATTGGTTTGGTCTGCTCTATTAAATCCGCTTGCTTCTTGTGGTTTTCCACTTGTTGGTCTTTATGGTATTCTAGGAATCGAATCATCTTTAATGGTGAGTTTTTCAATTCGAAAGTTATTTTCTAGAGGATTGTTAATTTGTCTTGGTGGTGGTTGGCTTTGGAGAATAAATATAGGAATAATGTTACATGTAGTTATTATGAGTGGGTATCTAGTCCTTGGAATTTCTTGTTTTTGCTAGATTTTGTAATTGGGTTGGAGTACCCTAGTACTCCCATCTAATTAATTTTTCTTATAAAAAAAAAATTATATTTAATTAATTTAACATTGGAGAAAGGTTCAAAAGTTCAAATTGTTGAGATGAAATTGCTTCTGGTTCGAACTGAATTGGTTAGAGAGCAAGCTTACTTGACACCGGAGCCATATAAGATTTCTAACTAGCTTGACTTTTGGATGCATGTAAGAATTCAAATCTTATAATCTAATTTTGGGTATAGTTTTTTGCAGGGTTTTGAGACCTTGGTTTTGTGGTTAATCTAACAGTAACTGATTCATATTTTTTGATGCTGTCATTGATCTATAACGTTGTTAATCTATTTTTAGAATGTTTTGTATATTTTTGGTTGACAGTATTTTGAAAAGTATTATGAAAGGATGATTATATCAGTGAGGTTTATTTCGTGCAAATACTATTTTGTGAAATTTTTGATATATGTCTTAATGACGTTGAATGAAGAATGGTAAAATAAAGTATTCTAATAATAGAAGAATGAAATTCAATTTTTAAAGGGTAATGTTAACTTATTAAGAAATTCACAGATAAATAGTTATATGTTGAAAATAACTATAAAAATATTAATTATAAACTTTTAATAAAATGAATACACAATTTTTTAAAAAAGAATTCCTTTATAAATTTTAAAATAGGTTTTGATTCATTTTTAAACTAAGTAATCTTCTATAAAGCATTACTTAACTATATATTTTTTTTTAAAAAACATGTCAGTTTTAAAATGATACTTAACACACTCATTTAATGTTTCAAATTCAATTTTAAAAAGAAACTTAACTCAAAGATTTAATGTTAGAATTTAAAATTTTCCCACAAGAGTGCTACAGAAGTCTCTATGAACCTACTTATAGATTCAAAATATACGTGAATATTATGAAAGGAGTAAAAATCTAGACTTTTTTTTTATTCCGTTTTTTAGGAGTCTTTTGTTTCCTAACACCGTTTGATGAAAAAATTCCATCTCCATGATAAAGTTTGGTATGAAAAGTTAAAAAGTGAGACTAATTTTTGTCAAAATCATATATATACAGTTAAAGGCAGTGGAATTTTTTTCAAAATCATATAAACAATTAAAGGCAGTGAATTTTTTTTTCAAAATCATATAAACAATTAAAGGCATTGAAATGTCCATTATTCAAGGATCATGTCAGTATTTTAAAAATAAAAATATAATTTAATAGGATATAATGTAAAAATATTTAACTGCATTTTTTTTTCTCTCTAATAATATTAATGTTTTAGGAATATGCTAATGAGTCAGGAATAAAATAAAATATTGTAAAGAAAAAAGAAAATAATAAACTTCAATTTAAAAACATCAAAAAGGCAGTTTAGCCTATCAATTAAACCCACCATTTCTATTTTTTGCTTACTGCTTTACCTGCAGCAGAAATTTTGAATTCTTTTTTTTTACAAAATTAAAATTTTCAAACTTGGGGGATGGATATATACGACGAAACAACCACTTTCATCCATTCGTATAAAGTCAATGTAATTTTATTCATTTTTCCGTTTATTCTTTATAAATTTACAACAACAAAAAAAAACTATATTGTTCCATGTTTTATTAGGGCCCTTAATACAAATAATAATAATAATAATAATAATAATAATAATAATAATAATAATAATAATAATAATAATAATAATAATAATAATAATAATAATAATAATAATAATAATAATAATAATAATAATAATAATAATAATAATAATAATAATAATAATAATAATAATAATAATAATAATAATAATAATAATAATAATAATAATAATAATAATAATAATAATAATAATAATAATAATAATAATAATAATAATAATAATAATAATAATAATAATAATAATAATAATAATAATAATAATAATAATAATAATAATAATAATAATAATAATAATAATAATAATAATAATAATAATAATAATAATAATAATAATAATAATAATAATAATAATAATAATAATAATAATAATAATAATAATAATAATAATAATAATAATAATAATAATAATAATAATAATAATAATAATAATAATAATAATAATAATAATAATAATAATAATAATAATAATAATAATAATAATAATAATAATAATAATAATAATAATAATAATAATAATAATAATAATAATAATAATAATAATAATAATAATAATAATAATAATAATAATAATAATAATAATAATAATAATAATAATAATAATAATAATAATAATAATAATAATAATAATAATAATAATAATAATAATAATAATAATAATAATAATAATAATAATAATAATAATAATAATAATAATAATAATAATAATAATAATAATAATAATAATAATAATAATAATAATAATAATAATAATAATAATAATAATAATAATAATAATAATAATAATAATAATAATAATAATAATAATAATAATAATAATAATAATAATAATAATAATAATAATAATAATAATAATAATAATAATAATAATAATAATAATAATAATAATAATAATAATAATAATAATAATAATAATAATAATAATAATAATAATAATAATAATAATAATAATAATAATAATAATAATAATAATAATAATAATAATAATAATAATAATAATAATAATAATAATAATAATAATAATAATAATAATAATAATAATAATAATAATAATAATAATAATAATAATAATAATAATAATAATAATAATAATAATAATAATAATAATAATAATAATAATAATAATAATAATAATAATAATAATAATAATAATAATAATAATAATAATAATAATAATAATAATAATAATAATAATAATAATAATAATAATAATAATAATAATAATAATAATAATAATAATAATAATAATAATAATAATAATAATAATAATAATAATAATAATAATAATAATAATAATAATAATAATAATAATAATAATAATAATAATAATAATAATAATAATAATAATAATAATAATAATAATAATAATAATAATAATAATAATAATAATAATAATAATAATAATAATAATAATAATAATAATAATAATAATAATAATAATAATAATAATAATAATAATAATAATAATAATAATAATAATAATAATAATAATAATAATAATAATAATAATAATAATAATAATAATAATAATAATAATAATAATAATAATAATAATAATAATAATAATAATAATAATAATAATAATAATAATAATAATAATAATAATAATAATAATAATAATAATAATAATAATAATAATAATTACATTGAATAAAATTAAGAAAAGGAGAACATTCTAAGTAAATTAAGGAAGTTTATATTAATTTATGATGTTCTATCATGTAGAATAATTTCTAAAAGACTACGAAATACAATGATTCCAAGAGACATGAGTGGATTGATTACATTAAATTATAAGACAACAGAAAACACAAGTTTGTAGATGAAAACGTGTTAGTAAGGATACCTTCTTTTTCTTTTCAATTGTCCAAGCAAGAAATTTACAAGTATATATACAATATACAACACTTTTTTGATCCTCTTTTTCCTTAGGGGGGAAAGATTACATGAATGCTCAATAGAGCAAATAATTGAATTATGAATGGTTTTTATCCCATCTACTCCAATCATTAAAAAAAGAAAAAAATCAGAAAATAGAAGAAAAAAATAAATCCAAAACTTGGGAAAAATTCTACATCTATCAAAACACTATCAAAGGTTTGAAGGAACAATTGCACTAGTTTCAAGCAATTTAGTTGCATCTTCGTCCATAGGTATCTTGCTCCAAACAGAATTTCTCATCGCTAAAATTCTTGCCCGTTCGAGTCCATTACCTCTGAAGCCAGTCATTCTTGACGACACCATTGGCATCACAAAAACTGAAGATGCATTGATGGTATCCTCCCCAAAACCAAGAGTTAATGCACAAGAAGTCTGCAAATAGATAGAAACTCAAATTGTTAGTTATTGAAACTGATAGTATCTGTATCAGACAAGAATGTTAATGCGACCAGTTATATATATACCTTTGCCTTGACCAGAATATCTGTAACCTTTAACATGACTCCTTTGACAAAGGTTCGCACGTCTTTGTTGTGTGTGTCTTTGTTGTTCGCTTCTTCAGAAGGCGCTACTAACCTATAATAGATAAAACAGTATTGACATTATGAAAGTCACCAATAATAAGAAGCATGCATATAGGCATCATGGAGTACTTTTTTAAAGCAAAAATTGTAAGTGCAAAGAGATCATTATGAGACATCCCAAAGATTTCTTATCGTACCTTTTCATTTCTGTTGAAATGGCAGGAGACACAATGGAATCCAAAGAACTGTCTTTCGTCTCGGAAACTGAAACATTTAAAACAAGTTACATGCTATATCCCCTGAATACCTCGGTTTACAGTAAAACCATAAGATGATTATGAATCTATAATACCTTTTGATTCATCAGGTGCAAGCAAAGAAATGCCAATGAACACACACATCATTCCAAGTATAAACATTGTTGTCCTTAATGTGTCAAATACCTGCTTTTAGGAGTATAAGGTTTAGATGACACCTAAATTCATTATCGAAAAACATTCAACATTCATCAAAGTAAAACACTAAGCAATCATATGGAAATTGAGTTTTGATGTTTTTCTAAATTCTGTATCATGAGTTAATCAGCAATCTTATTTTCGATCTATTGTATTATTACAAATACAATGGGCTAACTCTGTTGGCTAAATATATTTCACCATCGACATCATATTTTCTCCTCTGTTTTAATGTGATTAGATTCACTTGTAATAATTTCTCAGTGATACTGGAGTTCTCATTGTTCCTCTGCAGTAAACCAAGGCCCAAGGCTCAAAGCATGAGTGGTAAAGATATGATTAATTTTAAGCAACAAAAAAGGCCTCGGTAGCAAACTTCAGTAACTTTAGGCCTGAAGATATAAGAAATACGTCTTATGATGCATAAATATCACCAAAAAGTATGAGTTTACTCAGAAGTAAAGTAATGAAATCTAAGTTATTGATAACTTTGTTGACCTCATAGAAGAGAAGCAAGATCAGGTTAACAATTATGTTATGTGGGCCATGTGTGTTATGTATGTTGGATCCATGGTGTTTCTAGATATGGTGTTTATGAACTTTAAGTCCTGAAATATATACCCAAAGTGAGTCCATTTCATCCAAGTAGGAGTAGACATTCATTTTTATCTTACAATAGTTTGATTTTAACTTAAGAGTGTTCATGGCAAAGGAAAAGGCTACATGTGCTAATGTATAACTAGATGTGAAATTACCTGATATTCCTGAAAATATATAAATCCTGTACAGATTGAGAAGAGTGTCCATGCGATCTGAAACATGGGAACAATAAGAATTGCATCGAACAAGGACAATCCCTCATTCAACCTGGTCATCTGCACAATAGGAAACATGTATCTGATCAAAACTGCACCCATTGATAGAGGCCCTAAGAAATTTTTTTACCCAAAAATAAACTTTACCCAAAATCCGGCCGTACTGAGAAATAAAAGAAGTATGGAATATGTGAACCAGCTGTGCAACTGATAACCATTGGAGAAAGCCAGTCGTAAAAGATTAGAACTGCCAAAACGAAGTTGACATTAGGAATGAAGTACATGGTTATTGTGCCATGGAGCATGATAACATGTCAGAGTAGGAAACTTACAGTGATTTAGCGAACAACACTGAACATGAACCTATAGCCCCTGAAACTACAGCATAAGAAAATGGCAATAGCAAACTCCAAAAGGGTTTGAGCTCATGTCCTGATACAGCAATCAGAAGTTCACCTCTCCTGCATAATTCACATGTTAGTTATAAAAAGAAAAAATCGTCGAACTGAACTATCAACAAATAATTAAATCCTAATCATTACTTGTATACGGAGTGATGCAAGACAACAATTACAATCAAAGCTAGAAGGTATAGAAGGAATGCGACATTGGTATATTTCTCTGTCAACTGCTCTGGAGTATAAACTGAAACACAGGCAGTTCATTACAAAATTAGTTTGCACCATTGAAATTAACATTTCTTTCTATATGAAACGATGACTCATTCAAATGTATAGCAAAAATGAATCTTGACATTTAATAGCATACAGAACATTTTAACTGAAACACAATGCTTTAATTGAACAAGGCAATTTGTTACATACCAGGTGATTGGTGATTGCCAAAAGCAACTAGAAAAACATTTCCAAGAACAATGAAAGCCGTGGCAACCAGAACCCTGTTTGAAGGACAATTATTAAGCTACAAGAATTTTCATAGGTAGAACCATTTTGGTGAAAAGACAAAAGTGAAACAGTAATCTTAATTCAAATTTGGCATACTTGACTGTCACCACTTTGTTCAACACAAAGTAAGCGAATGCTAGGTTAGATACAAACTGAACAGATCCCAAAGCTGCAAGAAGTGACTGAAGAGCATACAGAACCATATGTAATCAGAAAAAAAAATAGGATACTACTTCACAATACAATCATAAAATTACATAAGTTAAAAAAATCCAGTAAGTATATGGAAACATACCTGGGCGGCATAGCCAAAGGAAATGAAATTAAGGCAATTTCCAAGAAAGAAAAATAGGATACCTGCATATTAAAATTTATACAATAAAAATAAAGAATCAGCTACTTGAGTAAACTGTGCAACACTACATATATAAAAGCAACTACACTATACCGATTCTCCAACTCTGAAAGTATATAATAGGCTTCAAATTCGCCTTTCCATGTACCCCATCACTTCCAAGTAAATGTCTTTCTCTCTGCAAAAAGTGTAACACAGTCTATTCATTCATGTTTCTGAACTAATCTGATAATGCAACTTTACAGAAATAATACGAGAGTTCAGTCACTATTGCCAGAAATTGTGTAGATCGCAATTTAATATTGGCATTCAAACAAGTCAAATGACAACAACAACAACCAAGCTTTATCCCACTAAGTGGGGTCGGCTACATGGATCCAATTCCGCCATTATGATCTATCCAAGACCATGTCCCTATCTAATTCGTTAATCTCGAGAACTTTCTTAATAAGTCAAATGACATGAACAAAAATCAGTTAGAATTAAATATAACAAAATGTTTCACTGCTTTACTTTTAAGGGTATGTTTGAATGGAGGGTTTTTGGAGAGATGAATTTGGAGGGAGGGCTAAGTCTTAGTTTTATATATATTTGAGATTTGAATATTTTTTGAAAGAATAACATGATCGATTATCGGAGAATAACAATTACACCACACTTAATTTATTTTTAGAAACATTTCAAACTTGATATAATGTAAGGGTCAGCTACATGGACCAAATTAAACGTCGCCATGTTATGTCACATACGGTATCTCTATCCAATTTATTAATCTCTAAGTCTTTCTTAGTAGTTTCTTTTATAGTTTTTTAGGTCTAATGATTTGACTTCCCCATCTAATCCACACTTTTTATTATAAGATTTATAGGTCTTCTCTCCCAAGCTCAAACCACCTAAGCTGAGTTTCCACCATCTATTCACAATAGGTGTTACCCCCCCGCTCTCTTTCTCTCTCTAATGTTGTCATTCTTAATCCTATCCCGTCTAGTCTAACTACACACCAAATGCAGCAATCTCATCTCTGCTACGCATACTTTAATCACATGTTGGTTTCTTACCACCAACACTCCGTCCCATGCATCATTTCCGGTCTTATAGTTGTAAGATAGAAAATTTCCTTCAATTTGAGAAGTACTTTTGTATCACATATAAATGAGCTATGCTATATGGTAAGAAGGAATTAGAATACGAAAGGCAAGAATTTATACGTGGAATTTGTACAGTAAAAGTAGAAACAATTAGTATGTGCTTGCCATAAATCATGGGTGGGGGTGGTCATAAATTAAAGGGTCGTATTATTCTTGTAGAAACTATTCCGTAATATTGAGCATTATTCCATATAAAAACTCTATTTCAAATCACATAAAAGTACATCATAAATAGTGCCAAGCTGAAAACAACAACTTAATTCATACCTCATTGTGTCCTAATTTGAGAAGGTTGGTCCCAAAGTTTATAGCAAGACTACCAAAAAGGTTGATGAAAGCTCCAACAACCCACTCCCCCATGAATAAAATATGTGGCACCGCGAAGGATACACCACATGCAGCAGAAAATTTCCCTCCACTTCCTAACAGAAGTTAGCTCTCAAATTCTACACACAAATACAAATCCCCTCTGGAATATCTACGCCTTGACAGTCGTTGTCGTAAGCACCAAGTGAACCAGTTTCAAAACAACACTATAATCCTGTGACATTAACAAACACAAATCAAACAACTAACCCAAAAACCTTCAACACTGATAATCATTAGCTAAGAAATTGTTCATGGAAAGTAAACTATGTGTAAAATTGTAAAAACGGAAAAACAAAAAAAAATTAAAGTGTAGCATAATATAGTTATTATTTTCCATATAAAAACAGAATCCAAAAAAATATTTTAAAAATTCTTCACGCATTGAATTTCCTTTTTAGGGCAAAAATTCAGATCAATAAAGGGAAGATACAATATAATACTCGAAATTGCAGCATTTGAAGTCATAAATCAACAAAATTAAAAACAAAAACAAAAACTTTAAAGCCTAATTCACTTTGTTGAAAGAAGCTAGATCTATTAAATTTGTAGAAATTGAAAGCAAAAAAAAAAAAAAGATAGATCCAAAAAAAATCACCGAAATTGAATTTTCTATGAACTTGATTGCCTGAGAAACAAACGATTCCTTGTAATCGAGTTAGCGTGAAATTGAGATTACGCGATTGAGTTGAATCGAAGGTGAATGAATTCAAATTGAAAGGGAAAGAGAAATAGGGTTTTAATAAAAAGAACTAGAAAGGTAATTAATTTAATTTAATTTTTAAGTTGATTAATTGCGATATGAGATTAAATAAATAAAAAATTAAGATATATATAGTGAAGGAGAAGAATCTTCTTGGTCCAAAAAGGAGGGATTTTTTTTTTTTTTGTTTCAAAGATTAGATTCGAGAAGAGTAATAAGGAAAGAAAAGAGAGAAAATTCGTGAGGGAAAAGAAAGAGAGAGGAAGTTGTTGTGTCAAAGTCTAATTTAGGTCAAGATTTATAATTTACAACTAGGATATATCTATTCATGCTTTTTAAATATTTATCCAAAAATAATATTCATGTTTTTATTTCTATTTATGATAGACTTAAAAAAAATAAAAAATAAAAACTATAAGAAAAGCTTGTAAATCACAAGAAAATAAAAAAAAATCAACTATTTATCATTTACACTAATATATAAATATAAATAAATATTATATGAAATAAAATACTAATTTTTTTTTACCAAAATAACTCAATTTTTAAAAAGAAATTCCAAAATACCTCACATTTCAAATTATTTCTACCCCAATTTAGGGTCCTGAATACATGGTGGCGCCAGGTGGATTGGTGACCCTTCACAAGGGCTTGAAGGGTGGCGCCAATTGAATTGGAGACACCTACCTCATGGTATCTCCAATTCAATTGGCACTTAGATTAAAACTTACAATGGAGTTGCCAATTGAGATGGAGGCAGCCTTGAAAGTGAAAAAGAATTCTATAAATAGAGGTGTTTTGATCATTTAGTTTCACATCTCATATCTTTGTGCCACTTATAACATGTATCGTCGTCGGTGGGGAAAAGTGGTTTATTCGAGAGAGAAGCCTATGATGGACATGTTACTTTGGAACATTCAAAGTTTCAATCAACTTAAGAGGGGGCTGAATTGGTGGTTAGAAGGAGACATTGGTGAAGGGGGAAAATTTTTAAGTATCGAGAGACTTGATCGCCTGCGTGGATGATTTCGCGTTAAGACTAACAAAGATGCGAGGGAATTCATGTTTGGACCGAATGAAATTAGTTTGATTGTTGTAATCAGTTAGAAATTTTTTTATGTTATTTGTTTTATGTGTTGTTTGTTGTTAGTTCGTGGTATATGTTGTTTGTTGTTAACATTGTTGTAACAAAGACTCGTTAATATATGAAAATATTAGGTTATAACAATTGAAAGGATAAACTAAATCATGATGCAAAGGTTGCACCGACATTGGGATAATTTTTTTGGTTGTGTCCGAGCTAACGATATATACTGCATAATCTTATCATTTTATCAACCGTATCCATTTCGGTCCTTATACGCTTGTTGTTTAGGCGTCCTTTTTTTCTTTCTTCGCATCTCATCGTTGTGCCAAACTATGTCCCCTTAGTATGGAGGTCAATATTCCTCCATTGGTAGCACTGTGAAGCCTTCGTTGTAGGCATTCATAACATTAATCGCCTTGTAAACATCAGATAGATAGCTATAAGCATCCTGACGATCATGTGTGCATGGCCCAATGACATGTGAGCAAGGTACACGAAAGGCTTGGTACTTGCCACAGTCACACCAACATTTGTTTAGTCTGACAACATAGGATAAATTTGGCCTCCCCTTATTATGGTCCATAGTTTCTTGTGCACTAAAAGTTTGCCTATAACGGTCAAAGATTGTAATTGCATGTGTGTTGGCTTTGATAGTATCCTCTTTCATCACCTTCGTTATGCTTTTACTGAATACTTGACCCGACATTAACACTACACTCCATCGTTCACCTCTTGTTACAAAAAGTGATGCCAACCTATAATAGGTTGATCTCACCAAATAGGTGATTGGAAGGTTTTTAATCCCTTTGAAGATCTCGTTCATGGATTCCACAAGGTTTATCGTCATGTGGCCCCAACGTCATCCACCATCAAAAGCCCTTGTCCACTTTTCTAGTGGAATGTTGTTCAACCATCTTCCTGCATTTGCGTTTGACATCCTAATTTCGTTAAGGTAGTATTAAATGATGGTTGAGTTAGAGCATACCTGGCATTCACAACTTTTTTGTGTAGGTTCTTGTCTTTGATTGCATGCATGAAGTTTTGTGCAATATGTCTAATGCAATATACATGGATAAAAGGAGGATTATGCCACCCGTTGTCATGGCTATTATAAGCACTCTTTATAGCTGCAACATGTATTCTTCACATGTGACTCCTATAATTCTATATAAGGAAGCTAGAGGTATGGAATGATACATCATCTGAGTCATTGTTGTAGAGAAACATTAAATCATAAACATGTTATCAAGCCCAGAGTATCAGAAACATTAAATCAGTTATAATGTCTCTGTTGACAATGGGTGAAAGGCATATAGGCACAGTCGTAAATATCGAGAATTATGTAAGTGTTTTTTTATTGACAAAGTGTTATTTTCTTTAATGTCTCTGTTAATTTTTTTCAAAATTGACAATGTGTTATTTTCTTTAATGTCTCTATTAATATTTTTTCTAAATTGACAATTATGTATGAAGTCTCTAGGTTTCGTCCTCGTGCCCATGAATACGTTTCCCCCAACGAATTAATTAAACCATATATTGAGTTCGCCGGTTTCGGACATGTAAGCAAAATCATGTCTTAATTGGTTGATTCAAAGTTTATACTAGCTTTGCAAGAGAGATGGCGCCCAAAGACACACACCTTGTTTTTTCCAACCGGTGAATGTACCATCACGTTAGAGGATGTGTACATGTTACTTGGTTTGTGTATTATTGGTAAGGCGGTCAATGGACCAACAAACCTTGATGGTTCAATTTGTGAGGAACTCTTGGGTGCCGACTTGCTAGATGAGAACTCAAGAGGCCAAGGTATTTCGCTTTCGCGCCTCAAATCATGGTACACTGGTTTTATATTAGATCAGGATTCTACAGAAGAAATTAAAATAATAAAAAACAGGTGTTATTGTATGCTTTTAATTGGTTTGTTTTTATTTCCCGAAGACACTGGTTCTTCTATACACATTATGTATTTACCCTTACTGATAAACCTAGATAAAGCAAGAGAGTATAGTTGGGGTTCTGCTTGTCTATCTTATTTGTATATCTCTTTGTGTAAGTGCGCCAAAAAAACACATCTACTTTTTTTGAATGCGCCATTTTGCTTCAAGCATGGGGTTGGTCTAGATTGTCATCCCTAGCGTCCGTCAACCACAACAGTTTTTCCTCCCCGTACGCACAAAAGTAAGTTAATAACTTAATCTTAGTTTATTTTACCTTACTAATTATTATGTCTAACTAATTAAATTTGAACTTTTTGTTGTTTAGATGGTTGGCTAAGGGTATAACTTACAATAGATGCCCTAAACATTGTATCATTCAATACCGCAATTTGTTGGATCACCTAACACCTGGAGATGTAAGGCCTCTAAAAAAATCAACTTATTTTTTATATCAACAATTTTATGATCTAATATTTTTCTCTTCTTCAGTTCATTTGGCGTTCATACCTAAACATGGAACACCTACATGAAGTTAGAGAGGAAGATAATGTCGTTTGGACTGCTTGCGTACCGCTCATCAAATTCACCACTATGGAGATGCACAACAGTTATCGTGTCAAACTACAATTTAAAATGCATCAAAACATCCCAGATCCCCCTGTTGACCTCGGTAAATGACATCTCAAAAGAGTTAATGATCAATGGGACTATCCCGACTGAAAGGATTTTGCAAAATTTGAGTCTCGTAAATGGAGGAACCGCAACGCCCATGTCTTACGTGACCCGGTGATGGCAACCCCTTCTATACCAACTAATAATTATATGTCTTGGTACAGATCGGTTGTAACTGGGTTTGTCTTCGAAAAGAGGTATCCATACGACCTACGATAAACCACATACACACAAGAAGGTTCATCGTCTAACCCACCGGGAAATTATCGGCCATGTTACTCACAACCCCCTACCTAACAGAATTACCAACCCACTAACACACAAATCTACCATCCAAACATACCAAACACCCAACCATAATACCAAGAGTGTCCCCCATACCATCTCCAACAAAATTACTATTATCAAGAAACCCAATATGGTTATGCCCCCAACACAACATCAAGATATAGCCAAAATGAGGGTACATCATACCATAGCCATATCGCCTAAACATCTTTCCATAGCCAAAACGCCCAGACATCATACCCTAGCCTACACACACAAACATCCCAACAACCTTATGGTTTTCAAACACCACTACCATTTTAACATT